GGGTCAGAATTTTTATTCCAATATTCAGGATGGGGTATCTCAACCAAACGCCCTACTTTGGCTTGCGCAACCCTTGCAGCTCTTGGCTCACGGCATTCTCCCCCTTCCCCACCCCATTGTTCCTCGTCTAAGCCGTCCACCAGAAAAATAAACAAAAATAATCACTTACCTCAAGTGACCTGATTCACGTTGCAGCTTTCAATGTCCATACTCCACGTCAAATGGGACAACAGACATCTCCCGCTGAAACCTTGATTCTGTGATTTTATGTTATTTCTAAAACATGCACACAAGACCCCAATTTGTTCGTGAACCTCAAGTCGCATAGGGTGAGCTCAGATGCTCCAAGTTTCACTCTTCGGATATCCGGTGATCTTGACGCAACGGCTCGTGGTATCTACGGTGTGGGTGTTGCACTCAGCTCCGAGGCTGAAAGCTCCTTACTGGACTGGATCCCAATAGACTGTCGTCTTCGCGCTGTGCGGTTGTGTGACTCAATTAAGGTCAATGCAGTTCCATAATGTAAACGGTGTTTATTCGTCATATCAGCATACACCCTGACAGACAACACTTTGGAGAGCGAGAAAAACGGGTTTTATCGAAACCTCCCCCGACTGCTTCGGTCAGCATGAAGGATGGATACTGTATATCTCGAATCCAGTCTACGTTGTTCAAGAAGCACCGTTAAGCTGTAACTCCCCTTCGGAAAACAGCTGTCATGCTACCCGGGGTCGTGATACTGCCAGGTTGCCTAAGCCTAGACAGGAATAGTCTAGATGCAGAGGTCGAGTTCGAACTAAGGACCTTCCGGTTAGTAATTTTGCGCTTTAACCACTGGGCCATTCCGCCCCCAAACGAACACCAGCTCTGGTTTTGAGACAACGGTTGTAAAATACCTACAGGCGCCTCAGTTCCACTGCCCAGTGAGCCCTCGTCTCAAAGTCGTACGATAAAACAGCCCGGTGAGATTCGGGGATAGACCGCTTTGCCGCCATAGGTGTCTCCAATTAAGTAACGCCACCCGAGGCTTGCATTGACATCTGTCATACTACAATCGGAACTAATACAACTTGAAAGATAAATAAAGATAAAAAAGATAAATAAAACGCCCAACAACTATGGGTGCCTCTCCCGGGATTGCAAACGGCATGCCTTAGCCACGGGGCGAGATAGCCCAAGTGGTTAGAGCGCGAATTTATTGACCGGCCTCTGCCTCTCGACTTCCCCTGTCTAGGCCTGGGCAACCTGGCAGTATCCCAGCCCTCGTGCTTCCTTCGGGTGGCATGGCAGCTAGGCACCGGAAGGGTGCTACAGCTGAACGCTTTTTTTTGAACGCCTTAGCCACGGAGCTATCTCGACCTCAGTCCAAGACTACCACTCAATTGCGTCTCTGCAGCACCAAGTCCATCTACATGCGCACACAACCCCCCATCAATAGCAGTACCTGGGTTTATATTCCACCGTAATAAGATACTTAAAGTGTCGTCAGGACTGTTATTGTTCTAGTTGTGTCGCAATTAGCTTGTTTATCAGGTGACAAGCACTAACGAAGTAGGCTTTTTTTAAAGAATGGCACCTTGATAAAAATAAATACAGTGCGAAAAGTGGAATGCGCCAAAAAGTGGCTTATCGTTTGAGGATAATTGTTGAGAGTTGAAAAATCGTTCAGCTGTATCACCCTTCCGATGCCTAGCTGCCATGCAACTCGAGGCAATTACGAGAGCTGGGATACTGCCAGGTTGCCCAAGCCTAGAGCTCCCACCTGCATCGTTCAAAGAAGGGGTGAAATCGTCAGCGCTTGTCTGATCTGCTTTCTGGCATTTGGAAAATGAGACTGTTCCAAACAACTTGGAAGATTCGGTGATGGTGCCCATTTTCAAAAAGATGCTCGTGGTGAGTATGGTAATCACAATGGGATGAGCTTAACCTCGGTTATGACGAGATGGCTGGCATCACTTGTGCTTCGTCGCCTTATGGTGTCTCATGAAGCATTGAATCGAAAACAACAAGCGGACTTCTGGCCTTGTAGAGCTTACTTTGACCAAATCTTCACACTCCGTCAGGTGTTAGAACAGCGCCATACGTATAAACGACCCACAGTTTTAGTGTTCTTGGATTTCCAAGGCCAATTTTGATTCCGCTGCGGGCCTCTTTTCCTTGACACACTTGCCCATCAAGAAATGCCCCAGAAGTTTGTGAACATAATAGATTCTTTATATTTTCAGACTTCCGGACGTGAGAATATACGGAGAGCTCTCCAAATCATTATTTTCATTTGTCAGCTGTAATAACCGCGTACTCGTCGTACAGTGGTTGTAGCTGCCGCAGTTTCGTTCACCGATATTTTTT